CGCCGCCGCCGCCGCTCCGCCTCCTCTCGCCTCCGCCGGCCTCACGTGCGCGCAACGGGGAAGGCAGGTCTCGCCCCGTCACCAAATTTAAAAAGGAAAGGGAAAGTCGTCCTTCAGCGCCGCCGAGACGCGAGGGAGCCCGACCGACCGACCTGCCCTCGCCTCCGCTGAGGCCGACGTAAAGAGGGGCGGCCACCGGCGCAGGCCCTGAAAAGACAGGGCAAAAGGGGGGGGCTGAGTGCACGCAGATGCCACGCGCATTTCTAGGTGCCCCGCATGCTAGAGGCGGGATGGTTTTTTACCAAGGAAAGCCCGCCTCTCATGCACGTGGGGATGAGTGACAGGCGACCTACGTGCCTGAGGAGGGACACCTGTTCGGGTGCTGCCCTCCGGTCTGTCTGTGGATGAGCTACTTTGAAGCCCCCGATCCCCCTCCTTATGGCGCTTGGTCCTTAAATCAGAATTTCTGATCACCCTAATTATTAAGCAGAGTGATGCGGCTGCCTTGCGCAGCCAATCTCTTTCCACAAATCAGGGTGTTATTCTTTCTAAATGTGAAAATAATATATTTTTCCTGTTAGACATGGACTGCGATGCTTTAGGGTTTGTCTGTCTCGCGCATCAAAATACTGTAAAATCACTCGCTCCCACACGACTTGAGCAGGCATGGGACACCGTGGGCTGCTCTCCCTCAGGCAGCAAAACATGTTGGGCTAGCCCAGCACTGGATTTGGCACCCCAAGACGTGAATGAATCCATACCTTCTAGAACCTCAGCTTATAAAATAGACACCCAGCAAATAAATCTGGCAGCCAAGTTTTGCATTTAGTTTCTGAAGAATTCATCTGCAAGGGTAGCCCCACATACAATCCATTACAGTAGTCCAGATTAGGCATGATTAGTCAGTGTAACTACAACCCTTCAAAGGTCAGATGAAACTACAAAGCCTCTCCTAGACAGCACTACTACCTGTCCTACAACGAGCCATGCTAGATTCAAGGCTGCCCAAACTGTGAATGTGATCCTCCAGAGGGAGGGTGCCATCCTGCGCAGAACAGGTTAAATTCCCAACTGCAAATTTGTTTAATGGTTGAAAAACAGTACCTGTCTCTTGACTGAGGCTAAGTAAAAAAAAAAAATTGTGTTATTTGAATTTGAAATTGTGTTAGTGTTCCAGAAATGTTATTCCAGCAGACCTTTGTGTTTGATCAATCATACTTGCAAATGAAGTCTATGCTTACCAGGTTTCGTGATGACCAAGCAGAAAGCAAAACAAGATAACTAGCACATTACAGAAGATGTAAAAAGCTCATTCTGTGACAATCAGATGTTTTTAGTACTCCAATAAATTACCTCTTCTCATAACATATTCTCTATAAGAATAGTTTGAGTCTCATCTTGTTCAGCCACATCCAGTTCTAACACTTTATCCAGTCCCCTAAGTTTCATTTGAAAAGGAAAGACAACACTTGGAGGGCATTATTAGGATGCAAGTGGGACACATTCTTAAAACTCAAGGTGACCTCCTCCCGCAGCCTTATTTAAATATTAGAAAGCACAGGGGACAGAATAGAGTCATTAGGACAATGTTCACAATGCTGAGTAAAAGTTCCCTTACATCGCCTTCTGGGAACTCTCAGCCAAATAGTACCAGAACCAGCCCAAAACTGTGTCCTCAGCTCCCCTGTCATCCAAATGTACATACCAGAAAGATAATGTGCTGCTGAGATACAGAATCCAAAGGGTTATGCTTCTTGGAAGTGAACTTACACTCAAGAAGATGTATCTCTTTGCTTGCGGAAGGGTAGAGAGAGAGAGAGGACCTCTTCAGTTTTTCTAACATTTCCTGCTTAGGGTGCAACTAGATATTTCCTCTCCCCAGGGAGACAATGACAGGTAAGGGGGCATATTTGTTTCCAAGTTTTTAAAATAGGTTCCCTGCTGTTTTCCATGGGTGAAACTTATGTAGTCATCTATATTAATTTTCCCACTGTATGAGTCCATACCACACTTTCCAATTTCACCTGGGAAGAGAGGCACATTCTACTACTGTAATAAGGTCCTTTTCTCCATCTCTTTCCTTCATCCACTTTTTTTTTTTTAAAAAAGTGAAAGTGGCATAGTGCTTATCTGATACGGAACTAAATGTGAAGTGTTTTAATTTTTTTTAAAAAATGTTCAGAGAATGGGAGACAACAGGTAATCACACACACCATAAGATGGAGAAGAGCAACGGCATGGGATCATGGGATTGCTTTTAAATTTGTAAACCACCCAGAGTAGACCTTTGGTCTAGATGGGCAGGATAGAAATCCAATAAATGAATAAATCAGTACAAAATGAACCACACACCCTGTAGGCAGAATTTTTTTAAAAAGTGCCCATGGCTGGTAATGTTTCAGCTTTTAACTGTGCCAGATCTGATACAAACCACAGGATAAACTGCAATGTTGTCATATTGAGCTATTGTCATATATTGAGCTATAACTAGGAAGGAATTCTATCACCTAACACAAATGTATGTCTCCCATTAAACACAATTCCGTTTGTTTGTTTGTTTGTTTGTTTGTTTGTTTGTTCTTCCTTCCTTCCTTCCTTCCTGTCTTTCTTGTTTGGATGTGATTCCTTTACAAAAAAGGGGGGAGTATGTATGCTCAAGTAATGATTCTGAGTTTCATAGGGTTGAAATGACAAGTCAATGTTGCTTCTGCATTCACTCTCCCATCAGTACTCTCCCCAAATCTAGATCCTGGCGGTGATTCTGTCCCCAAACCCTGACATAGACTCAAATCCAATTGGTAATCCCGTATTTGAACCAATGGGCTTTTCATAGGTATTGGCTTACAGTGGCACCGTGGGGAACAAACAACCTTTGACTTCACAGTTAGGTACCCAGGTAACCCTAATTCATAACAAAACAATTAAATTTGGAGGGACTCGAATGCAGCCTTGTAAAAGTGAAGCATGTGAAGCCCTGGGCCTGAATGAAGGCATTTGTCACTTTGGCTTCGCCCCACATTCATATACTTGAATCTCAAATTCTGTCCTAAATATGAGGGAGGGGGATGCAAAAAGTGGTAAATTCCTATGAGACACAAACTCAGAAGAATCTTACCCAGCCATGTCTCAAATGAAACTGTTTGGGACTAGGAAGGGGGAATACGGATTTATACCTGTTGTTGTTGTTGTTGTTGTTGTTGTTGTTGTTGTTGTTGTTGTTGTTGTTGTTGTTGTTGTTGTTGTTGTTTGTTCCCAGGATCTCCAAGGTTTTTTTCTTTTAAAAAAAACTTTTCTGAGCTCTGCTTCAACCAAGTTCTGCTTATATCGAACTCCAGTTTACTTTTTGGATTATAATTACCAGGTTCCTACATTCAGTACTGGTCATGTGCCCCCAAAATTATTATTTTTTCAAAGGTCTGATTTTTCCACTCAGGACTCCTCAGGCAGAATTCTTTCCCTTCTTTTTCAGTGAACATGTCCAAGGATTGAACATCAAGCTTTCTAATTGCAAAGCATGTGCTTCATCAGTGAGATGTAATACCTGCCCAGAACATTCACCTGCCATTACATCTGGCAAGCTCACTGGTCTATCCTTAAGTGACATAAATGGGCCATCAGGACCAGTACAGCTGGAACATTTACATCATTTCAAGTGTAATGCTTTTCAGTGGTGTCACAGTGTTTTCATTCAGCTGGCAGCCGTCAAAAGATGTACATATATCCATGAACCGGGTCTTGATGACTGTCAGATGAATACACCAGTGGATTCCACCGGAAATCATTGATATTTCTGATGTCAACCAAGGTGATACCAAAGTCCTGCCTATATTCTACATCACTAAAACACAGGTTTGAAAAGAAAAATTACTTTTTGGGGACTATAACTCCCAGGGTCCCCCAGCCAGCAATGTCACTGGCCCTCGTGGCTAAGAGATTTCAATGAGCTGTCATCCAAAAACACATCTGTAGTACTCATATCAAGTTAAAGCAAATGAAAGTAAGTATTCAGTTTTAGTAACCTTTACAAAATAGAGTGGTAATTGTCAATATTCAATTGCTTATGTGCCCTGGCATCTGTGGAACACTGTAAATCACAGCAGTGAATTGTTGCTAACTAAGGAATCAAAGTTTGTGTTCCTCATTATGTGTCGGGGGACTGGTGCACTAAAAGAAATACAAGTTACAACCCATGATTCTTTAATTGGATGTGTACTGCTGTGATTTATGTCATTGTACATACACAAGCAATTGGATACTGTCCAACAAGTTACATGTAGAAACTAATTAAAATAATGAGCCTTAGAGTGATAATTAATTATATTTAATTAATAATTACTTTTTAAATGTAACATTCCAAATTCCAATTTCATGATAATTTCATTCCGTTCTGCACACACACAGTTTTCCATTCCGTCCCCCTTTTCCAAATGGTACTCCATATTCTGTAGTGAGTGAGAGATCCCAGTGTTTGGGGTAGAATTTTTTTAAAGTGCTTCTATAAGTCCAGGTTTCCCTCCTTGCTATTTTTAAAGGATTCTTGATCAAGGGTGTATCAAGCCAATTTGACACCCAGGGCATTGGCACTTATCTCCCACCAACTTCATCTTGACCATAGGAATGAGTTCCTCCCCCAGGAAAAAGGAAAAGACGGATGGGGCGTCTTGC